CATAGATCAAGACAAAAATCTTTACTTTACCTTGTCTGATATGGCTGCCAAAGGAAATTGCTTTTTATACCTTGCAGGAATCTATCCCCTTCGAACCTTTTAAAGTTCTCTCTGAACCCGCCAGACATTTTCATGGAAAGCACATCTCTTGGGTGCCTTCTTGGTGGCGTTTGGATTATTTTTTCCTCTTTGTCCTCCTCTCTCTTTTTTTGAGAGTCTTTCACTCTGTCACCCAGGCTGGAGTGCAGTGATGCGATCTCGGTTCACTGCAACCTCCACCTCCCAGGTTCAAGTGATTCTCCTGCCTCAGCCTCCCGAGTAGCTGGTATTACAGGTGCCTGCCACCATGCCCGACTAATTTTTGTATTTTTAGTAGAGATGGGGTTTCACCATGTTGGCCAGGCTGGTCTCTGACTCCTGACCTCAGGATCCGCCTGCCTCGGCCTCCCAAAGTGCTGGGATTACAGGCTTGAGCCACCGTGCCCAGCCTGTCCTCCTCACTTAGCGTGCTCATTTAAAAGAAACAAATAGATCTGTTTTCCCTTAATTCAGACCTCCAAATATGTGCCTTTCTCAAAATTAATATATACTGCTTCATTTAACTGGACTTTCAAAGGCAGACTCTATAACAGGCTCTTAACCTGGAATTGTACAAGGATGGTTTCACTTATCTCTTACATATTTTGTATATACTATTTAGTTTTTATATACCTTTTATGTTTTGTGGAGTATTTGGGGTGAGACTCATGTGCATCACTTTTATAGGTAGATTTGTTACTATCAAGAGGCAACTTAATGCCATCATTGGCCTTTTTAGGAATGCCCATGAAACTGTACATTCCTATATTACAGAGTACTAGGGTCACTGAACTGGTATTGGAAATATGGTGGTGATTTCAGATAACAGTGTCTGTGTCTGTTTTCCCCAAAGTTTGGTTCTACACAGAATCAGAGAACCTTCACCTTTGTGGGCAAAACTTTTCATTCTTCTAGTACATAGGTTGGAAACATGGAACAGCAACAGGAACTAAGAGGGCCTGCCAGACTCTGTTTTTGACCAAAGTTGTGAGTCCTTGACTGACTACAAATAATCTGGCTTTATATATTTTCGCTTATCTTCCTCATACTGGATGTCTTCTGGTACTCTTGAGAGCAGAACATCAGGACTTCATCAGACCCTGTAGACTGAACTGCTCAACTTATAGAAAATTACATTATAATGATCTCAAAATGACGAAAGAATATTTGATGAAACTCAATACTTATTTCTGATATTAAGAATTTCATTAAAATTGGAATAGATGGATACTTTCTTAACCCATTAAAAAGAAATTCCGATAAAAATGCATCATTATGCTTAGGATTTGGAACATTCCTGTTAGCGATGTCCACTGTCATCACAATTGTTTCATATTTGAGATTCTGGAATTGTCAACCAGTATCATCTGAAAAATGAAAGCTGTGTTGTACTAATATTGAAAAGAAGGACAACTTATTCTTTGAAAATATGGTTGTATAATAAATATACAAGAAAATTACTAAAAGTAAATTTCAGCATGATGCTTTCTTATGTAGCAATACCCTATAAAGGGTCTATTTGTAATAGTAATAAAATATGTTAAATAGGAATTTATAATAGCGAGTAATATATAAAATAGCTTGGAATGAGCCTAAGCACTTATATAGGACCCTTTATGAAGGCAACTATAACTAAGTGTGATCTCAATCAGTACCAATAACACTAATATGAAATAGTTCTGAAATGTAGTGAGATAAACATGTGAGAACAGTTAAAAAAATTCCAAGGGGAAAAATATTTACGGAGTGGGTAAAGGAGTCAGCTCAGCTCATCATCTCAAATACTGAATTGCTTTATGAAAACAGTTGTTAAAATAGTTTAGTACTGACACTGAACTAGATCAGAGAAATTGAATGGAGATTCAGTAAAAAACCCAAATATGTAAGTGTACTTAGTATATGTTAAAGTTTGTTTTTCAAATCAGTGAGAGAAAAGATGGATTATTCTACAGCATGTCAGGATAACTGGCTAGTAGTTTGGATGAAGATAAAGCCAATCACTGCTGCACTTTTATACAAGAATAAAATTGTGAATGGACCAAATATGCAAATATTAAAAAAATGAAACTAGAGTAATAAAGAAAACAATAGTGAATTTTAAGTGATTTTGGGATACAGAGGACCTTTCTAAATGTGACACAAGTTTCAAAAGCTAAATATATATGTACATACTTGAGTACATAAAAATTAAAATGCCAAAGGTTGACTAAACAACTGAAATAGTTTAGTTTAAGTTCTTTAGCTACCAAACATGCTGTGGGGTAAGGGAGTAGATATTTGCTACATATTTGATAAAAGACAAATGTCCTTGAACATCCAAAGGTTTTTTTTTTTTTTTAATGAATTAATAAAAAGGTAAGCCCCTCATAAATATGTAAAGTTATACAAGAAACAATTCATAACACACATTAAAATGGCCAGGATACATGCAAGGATGTTCACTCTTCCTTATGAAGAAATTCAAATTAAAGCAAGATACTATTTTATATTCGTAAGACTGGCAAAGATTTAAAATTTACTTACTAGTAATGGCAAGGGTGTGGGGAAATCTCATACATTGTGGAAATGTGAATTGATGTGACTTTTTAAGAAGAAATTTAGCAGTAACTGTCAAAATTTTAAATATGCATATGTTTTAGTCTTATCAGGACCACTCAAAATAATCTATCACAGGGGTTACACAAAGATATATGTAACAGAATGTTGTATCACTGTGTGTAGTGGCCAAAGTTTTAAAAGGGCAGATATATGTTGTGTCAAGCGGCTAGTGTATTATAGTACCACTGATACAGTGGAATATCCTAAGTGTTTAAATAAAATTAGATATGTGTTTTTGTTTGATATAGAAAGATGTGCAGGGTGTGATCGGTAAAAAGGATACCTTGTATTAAAATATGGATATTTTATTTAAGTAAAAAATATTTTAAAGTTAGAATTCAAGTTTATATTTGCATTGTAAATGTATTTGAAAGATACATGTTAACATTCGCTATCTATGGGGCTTGGCACTGGGTGGTTGAAAGGAATAAAGTAGGGGGATTTTTGCTTTTTACTTTGTATCCTTCCATACTGCTTGAGTTTTTCCTTTTGTAAAAATAGGAACATGTTTTACTTTTATACTTTAAACAAACAACAAAAGCAAAACAGTATCAGTTTAGATTTATATCAAAGCATAAATATTATATTACGTGGGCCTTTATTCCTCATAATAGAAAATACAAAACCAGGGGCCTTTCATGCTGGTTAAATAGCACTTATTTATTTGAGAATATTTAACCAGTAGGCTTTATCCCAATCCAAAAGTACTGAAATTTCTTATAATATGGCCAGGCAATGGGACAGATTTTATCACTGTACTTCTGGATTAGCAAATGACATTTGCCACTTACAAGAGGAGCAACTCCCAGAACCAGAGTCAATGTGAAGCTTCTCTCACAATTGTCCTCTGAAATATCATTAAAGTCCTCTTCTCTGCAATCCCCCAAAATTATAGTTATCCAGTCTTATATTTAACAAGGTGTGAGATTTCTTTAGCTAAGAACTTCTGTAAAAAGGCTATTTAATGTCACAGTTTGTTCTAACAACTAAACTCCCTTCTCCATTCTGATATACACTTGAACCACTTTCAAACCATAGTCTTCCCAAGATAAGGCTTTCCATGTTTAATATGATGAAAGGGCAAGTGGTTATTCTCTCTTTAAAAGTACTCATAAGAATTCTGATGGATAAAACAAAATAATTTCCTCTAACACCAGGCAGACTAACCATACAAAGGCACGTTGCTGACTTCCTTCTGCATCAGTTGGTTGAGACGCGTAGTGTTGCTATCCATAAGTAATCCTTTATCAGAAAATAGCATATCCCAGAAACAAAATGTATTTTACATGTCTGCTTATCAACTTTGGTTGAATGATTTTAACAACCTAGTTTAAGTTTCCGTAGGGTAATATGATTACTCAAGATGCATTCCTCTGCAGTATACTTCGTGTTATGTAGGTTTTCACATCTTTTCCAGCATTTCTCGAAAAGTTATCCTTCTCCCAGTTGAACTCCTAAAATGCCATTGGTAGGGTCTTTGCACTTCAAGCCATCTTGAGGAAAAGCTTCCTTCTGAGAGTTATATCATTTGGCAAGGGTCAAGAACAGAAAGCTGTGTTTTTAATCTAAAGGCTAAGGTCGGATTTATTCTTAGATTTCTCTTCAGATTCATCTGTACTTCAATATCTAGTTTCCATAGCAACTGAGATGCAGTTTGCAGCTGGGTAAGAAAAGAGAAATCTTTAGGTGTAAAGAAACTTACTTTTTAAACCTGGATAGAGAAGGTATCAGGCAACACCTTCATAGTTTTTATAGGCTAAAGCCTGCATTCTTTTTTCAGGACTTCAATATTTTACTCATAGGTGTCATTTCCTTTTTCCTGAAGAGGCCATTCAACTCTTTTTGACACAGTCCCAGAAAAGATTGCTGCTTCTGTGTTCTATTTAATCACAGTCAAACTAATTAATTAACCAATTTAACAAGACAGCTAAAAGAACTTCTGTGGAGAAATTATAGTTACCAGTAGAATTATTTCTTTTCAAATGGAATGTCTCCGGCTGATAATAGCCTTTTTTACAGGAAGTAGGTAGTCTCTTGTTCAAGTGTGACTGAAAGAATCTAGAATAGTACTTATGTCTATTCCTAGTCTAACTGAATTTGGGGTGTATACTTGAGACCTGTTGAGTCACTTAAGTGGAAAAATGTTGGAGGGAGGGAAGTGCTATCACAAGTCTTTGCAACCACTAAAAGGATAACATTAAAGAGATGCTCTAAGCACACATTTTCAGAGACATGTAGCACTTTAAGTGGAAAATTTATTTTTTTTAAGTTGTTGAAGCTGGAGGAAGTTAATGTTTTGTTTTGTTTTGTTTTTTTAATTATAGGAACTGCCTTCTGTTGAAGAACTCACTATTATTCTGCCTGAAGATATTGAGTTAAAGCCTCTTGGGATGGTTTCAAGTATTATCGAACAACTAGGTATGTTAAGAATTTTATTAATAAAAATTATATCCAAACACGCACTAATAATTGAATCAGTGACTTTTATGACTAGTAAATTTTAGACATACGTAATTAACACTTTATAGTCATTAAGTTTGAAGAGATAAAATTCAGTTTTCCTATACTAAAATTATATGTAAATACAGTTTCCTTTTAGAAATTTAAATGTCTGCTTTTACTGACATACTTCTTCCAGAATTTCCTTTGATTTGGTTTATTAGTTTTCTAACGTTACTATACCAAATTACTGCAGACCTAACAACAGCACAATTTTGTCATACAGTTCTCATGTGGGTCTCAGTGGGCTTAAAATCAAAAGTGTTAACAGGGCTGAGTTATTTTCTGTAGGTACTAGGGGAGAATCTTATTTCCTCGCTCTTTCTGGGTTCTAGAGCCTGCCCACATTCCTTGACTTCTGGCTCTCTTTCTTCATCCTGAAGGCCAGTAATGTAACATCTGTCTCTGAGCCTTCTTCCATTATCTCACCTCACTCTAACCATACGTGGAAAGGTTCTCTGCTTTTAAAGACTTTTTAGATTGAGTTTACCTGCATAATCCAGGATAATCTCCCCTATCTCATGGTCCTTAACTTTAATCACATCTACAAAGGTTCTTAAAAATGTAATGTATTTACAGATTTGGGTATTAGAGTGTGGATATCTCTGGGGGAGCACCTTTGATTTTGTCTTAAAAACACATGAGAAAGTTTTGTGATTTAATACTGTTATTGGCATGAAATATGAAGCTGCTGAGTTATAAGAGAACAGATTCTTGTTAATGCAGGTACTGTTAACTCATAGTAGGATATGCCGGAGAACAGAACTCAGTACTGACAAAGTAATAGGATTTTGGAACTGTGAAGAGGACCTAGATTGCCCACCAGCCTCCATAGGACCTAAGGAAACAGAAAAATTCAAGTCAGTTGCTCTTAGAACCAGTTGTACAGTGAGTCAGTGATAGAAATTGGACTTTTTCTTTTGACTTTTTTCTAACAGTGTCTATATTGATATTTTAAAAAATTAATACTTACATGATTTTGTACTTTTTTAGTTTATTAATAAAAATGTAGATTAAAATGAACCTTCTTTTCAAAAATAATAATTAAAATTCCATGATTCTGGAATCATTACATTTACTAGTTTTAGAGTTATCTTATGGTATTTAATAATATGTATAGATAAACAAGCTACTAATTTCTTGATTAGTATGATTTAAACATTTATTAGACTTGATGTATACAGAAAAATTTTAGGTCATAATGTTGATTCTCAAAAAAAAATGTAAACTATGACATACATGGAATAATGCATGTCATTTTTGCATTTTTAACAATACTATTTTGACTAACATAGACTAAAAAAATTATCAACCTAATGGGAATAAAGAGTAAGTGAGTCAAAATCAGTACATACTACTGTTGCAGATTTAACTCAAAACATGTTGCCCCTTGATCTGTTGCTTATGTGTATATTTGGAATTTGAAAGTACTAACTGTTTTTTTAATAGAGATGAGGTCTTGCTATGTTGCCCAGGCTGGTCTCAAACTCTGGGCTCAAGCCACCCTTCCTCATCAGCCTCCCAAAGTACCTTCAGTACTTCATATCTGTCTGTAAATTGGTTTACTACTGATTATTCCCTCAGTGGACATGGTATTATCTATGTAATATAACAAAGTGTTCTTACTTGTGGCTCTGATTTTCTAAAAATTTATTGAGAGTGTGTTTGTGTATGTGTGTGTTTTCTCTTTGTTATGGTAGATCAGTTCTTTAACACTTGTGTCATTTAAAAGAACTGGAGATTTGGAGATTATGCTTTTGCTTTTTGAGGAGGGAATTTTTGTGTAATGATAAAAATTACTGTGAGCTCTAGCACTTTTACTTCTTCTTTTCATAGGAAGATGCTTTTGTGAAGCCTTTTATTAACATTTTTGTATACCATTAACTAAACAGTGCTTCGTAGAAAAGAATTTTTAAGAGTAAGAAAGAAGACTAATTTCTTTTAAAACAGTTTTACAACTAAATGTGATTACACTATTTTTGGTAAAAATTACTTGAGAATATGTACATAGCTTGAATTTGTTGACTCTTTAATGGATGATTCAGATTTTCTGTAGGATTTGCATTTTAATTTTTTTCCCTTAGAGTTGTAGCTTTTTATATTAAAAATAGGTATAAAACATTTCCCAGTGCTATGTGGTAATAAGTAGACTTTGTTTACTGAAGAGAAATGGTTAATGAGGTAATAATCCCACCTTCAGTTTTATTTTAAATTATATTGGAATTAAAGCTTAGATTTTCATTAAAATTCTACATTCTCTTATAAGTAAATCTTGAAGTAATCTATTTTATTTTTCAGTGATAATTGAATCTATGACTAACCTACCTCCAGTTAATGAGGAGACTGTAATTTTTAAAAGTGATCGACAAGCAGCAGGAAAGGTTTGTAAAACATTTCATATCTTACAAATTATTCTATTTATTTATTGTTTTTTTCTGACTTTCCCCATCAGTTCTCAGAAGAGTTTATTTATTTTAATTGATGGACAATTTAGAGCTCTCTAGTTTCAGTACATTCTTGATTTCCTTCAGTACTTCATATCTGTCTGTAAATTGGTTTACTACTGATTATTACTCTTTGCCACATGAGTTATTAAATACACATGTATAGAATTCTTTCCTAGTGTTTGTCAGATAACTTGCTAGGCAGTGAGTCTACGTAATGTATAGCACATCATTTCCTACCCTCCATATACCCAGCTGAGTGAAGAAGAATTCCCATAGTATAGTAGCTCTTAAGCATTTTTGTCTTGTGAGCTCCTTTGAATAGTGGCTCTCAGCCTTTTCAGACTTTGACTTCCTCAGGTGGAAGCTCAGTGTGGAATCTTTTCCAAATAGAAAAATATTTCCCTGACAGCAGTGAATTGTCACTGTATCTTACATCCTGGGGAATTACAAATATGTGCATTCGAGTAATTACTGTAAGATTTGGTCCCTTTTAACATCTTTCTAATGTAACAACCCTGCATGTCCACCTTAATATAGAAAACTGTGCAATGTACCCAGCAAGTAGGCAATTCTGACTGGTCGGCAGAAGACATAATAACTTTCTAAAATCAAGAATGTAAATACTAAGTAAGTATTTATTTCCTGGCAATAGGGACAGTTTTATTCACCTTGATATCCCCCATTGTACCTAGTACAGTTCTTTGGAAATTATTTTTGCCAAGTAAATGTGTATTGAGTTGAATACAAACAAGAAAGGAGCTATTTGTGATTTTAATGACAGTTGTCTTTTTTTCTTAGTACCTAACTTAAGACAATTTTAATCTGAAAATACTCAACACTTTGCTAAATGAAAACCTCTAAACAGGCATTTTTTTGTATTTTCCACTACATTTGAATTTCTAGACATGTAAATGTGACTAATAATATTAATATTCAGCTGTTATTTAACTTTGAAAGGAGTCAGTTAAAATATAACATTTATACCTCTAACTTTAGTTATATGGCATAAGCCTGTTGACAAAAATTAAATCTATTTCTAATTTTACATAGAATGCCTTATAAATGCTTTTGAAAGACTTTGTGACAAGTCTTTGAAAAATACTGATTCCCCAAAATAGTAGTGGAAGTAGAGATTAGAAAGTATTTGTTAAACAAACCAATAAGCACAATATGAAACTGAGTACCTTTTAGATTGTTAGCATGTCTTATCTAATAAAATACTAAATTAGTTCTACCTTCAGTAGCAAGCCATTGAACATCTTTTCCCTCTTCAGTAACACAATAGTAATCAGCTACAGTGATATTTATGTTATCATTTTAAGTTCACTAAAACCCTGCAAGGAAGTAGAATTACCTCTATTTTAAAACTTGAGAAACCTTGCTAAAAAGTCACAAAGCTGAAATGGATGAGATTACAACCCAGGTTCATTTCCCTTCCACCTCCCTTTACCTTCCCCACTGATTAAGGGAGGACAGTCTCAGATTTTTATTCTTACCTTTGCCCTTTAATCCTAATAACTTCTAGGTCTCTTGATAACTAGTGGAATCTGTTTCCTTCTCATATATCAGTGGGTAGGAAATTTTTACTGATTCCTTTTTAAAAGATTATATTACTATCTTGTTTGGTAGGATATGATGATTTTCTAGAGGACTCTTTTATATTGATGGAGTATTGTTCTCCACCCCTCAGTTCTCATGATATATTTCAAGGTAACGTGATACAGCAATACACACAGTGATTGAAATGATCAGTTTACCTAATAGATTAGAATACTCCATTTATCTGTATTTTTTTCATTTTTGTTAATGGGAATTGAAAAAAGCACAAAGTGATTGATAAAAGACAATGTTGAAGAGTTGTAAAGGTTCATTTCCTCATTTCCTTTCTCCTTTGGCAGTTTAGCCCAAAGCTGGCTTACCTGGAGAGACATTCTTTAAAGGCTGTTCCCAGGTGGCAGCTTGCAAATCTTGGCCTTTCACAGGCACAGTCTGCCAGCATTGTTCCATCCTGGAGATTCCTTGATGTAGTTATTGTTACTTAGAGAAACTGGAATTTACCTAGTCCCCTCCTAGATAATAGAAAAACTGGGAGTTACCTAGCCCCCTCTAGATAACTTGTAAGTTTGTGACATGGTGTGTGTGTGGAGAGGGGGAGGAGAGTACAGCTCATTCTCCCTTTTGCAGTATTATCTGTGCACGTCCAGCCTGCTGGCTCAAACAGGCCTTCTACGCCACTGAAACTTTTGCCATGATGCACACAGAACATTTAAGCCCATCCTATGCTGGGATGGAATTTGGGGAACTGCATGCACTCTATATCTTCTCTGCTTGTCAGTTACTTTTCCCAGCAGACCCTACATTATAGCTGTACCACATTGTTGTTATGGTGTGTATTAACCTCTGTGTGTGATAGGAATCCTTGGAGATCTTGTAGCAAAAATATGATGCCTTTGAGTAAAAAATGGTGAGTATTATCAGCTAGAGCCAAGTGAAAGGATACCTAAGAAACCACTTCTCAATGACAGGGCAAGTATAAAGCATCAGTTGGATTAAATTTTTATAGGAACACCTACAGAATATATACCATTTTTAAAGATATAAAGAAAGCTGCTTGCCCACCTCATAGTAGAGGTCTCAGCTGCTACTTTTCCAAATTCAATTTCTTATACTCTCCTTACAATATTTTACTTCCTTTGCTTTTATCTTGAATCAGGTAGTATGGAAGTTACAAAATCCCCTAAGTTGGGTGGAATGACCGAGAAGGAATATGGGTGCCTCATATGGAGCTGTATGAGGAGAAGTGGGCTGGCCTGAGCTTTGCTGTGTCTTAACTTACTCTTTACAGTTTAGCTCTTAGGTATTAGTCAATCTAAACTCTACACTCAGAGGCTAATGGTGATTTAAAATATTATTAAATTCCTGTTTTCTACTCTGGATTACCTAAATTGCTTATGTGAACTTGGTCAAGTTTTCCTGTAACATACCTATTAGTATTGGCTCATGTCACATACTGTCTATTGTATGGCTTCCTGTTATCTACTGCCTGTAATGTTATTTTACCTAAAACTTTATAATGATTTCATTATAGTTGTGGCTCATAAACACTTCAGAACCTAGGAACAGTCAACTAAAATACTATGCTTTGATTTTGTCCAAGAATTTTGAATGTCACTTATATTTTAGTTCAAACCATACTGCATAGACCTGAAGTTTGCAAGGAATTTTTCCATTGAAATCGTTTTTCACTCTTAGGAAATGGATTCATGCTATCTAGGAAACAAATACCTGGGAAACAGTCTATGTACCAGGTTGCACACTGATTATTTTACTTTATATTAATGGATACACAGGAAACTTAAAAGATTTTTTTTTTTTTTTTAAAGAATATGAATTTCATGTTTTATTTATAATTGTTGATGGGGATTGGTGGATTGGTCAATAGGGAAGAAATAAAATAAGACAAAGGAGGTAGATTATAAATAAATTTCATTTTGTTTCACAATTTTCTAAATATGGCCTTCACATTCATTATTATAGGAAGTGTTTTTTCCTGGTTGATGGGACATTTAATCTCTGCCCAAACGAAGAATTGGGTTTGCCTGTATTTGAGGGAATTAAACTTGTGAATTGTTTTTAAAACAATTTTAAGTGAAAATAAGACTACAATAATATATGTCAGATAGGCCAGTAAGAGTGGTGCTGAGTACACCTCTTCCGTCTTTCACAGTTCTTACTGGATGAGGTCTACTGGATTTATCTAAACCTTTTCAAAGCAAATGTCTTGCTATTTTCTTAAAGTTTTTTGCTTTTACAGTTTTTTAAAGCTTTAAATTTGTGATGCTGTTAGTGTTATTTCATAATACATTGGCATTTTAATAGTTTTTAATGTCACTACTTCTTTTTAGAGTACACGTATCTTCAGAATGGTGGTGCCCTGATAGGTGAGCTGTTTTACGCCTTAGTGAAAACGAATAAAAGATTCAGTGCTGTACTAAAGATCATAAAATGTGCAGAGCATTTGCTATCAAAAATCAAGAACTGAGGATGTGATAAAACAACCATGTTCAAGGCAGTTGGTATAAATTGGTCCAAGCTATTTAGAAAGCTATTTAGTAATTTCCATTAAAACTTTTATGCTTTAGTGTTAATTATCGTACTTTCAGCCTCAATACTTCCCCTCCTTACAAATCAATTTTTAGGAAATGTGAAGTATAGAGATTTATATATAAGATTTTTATCATGGCATCATGTATTATGTTGAACAAATTGTAAGCTGCCTAAATGTCCTACAAAAAGAAAGAAGTTAAATAAGTTGTTCTGATTCTGTAAAGAGGTGTTTTATAATTGCTAAAATTATACTTACAAAGAATATAACATGGAACAACTTCAGGTTTTTAAAAAGGGACAGTATACAAAACTACAGTATGGTCGTAAAGAAAAAATAACATATTAGAAAAAAGACTGGAAAAATCTGTACTGGCATTGGTCATGGTCTTATCTCTATAATATACATGTATTATCTCGCTCTTGTCCACTAGGCTGTAGTGCGATGGCACAATCGCAGTTCACTGCAGCCTCTGCCTCCTGGGTTGAAGCGATTCTCTTCCGTCAGCCCCCTGAGTAGCTGGGATTACAGGTGCCTGCCACCATACCTGGCTAATTTTTGTATTTTTAGTAGAGATGGGATTTCACTATGTTGGCCAGGCTGGTCTTGAACCCCTGACCTCAGGTGATCCACCCGTCTCGCCTCCTAAAGTGCTAGGATTACAGGAGTGAGCCACACCACACCCAGCCGGAAAATATATTTTTTAATTCACGTATTTTGAGAAGAAAATACAGTTTGAAACCAAGAGGTTTCCTTTCATTATTCTTAAAACGTTTTCAAAAGTAAAATATGTGGTTCTGCTAAAAGCAGTTCTTTTAGTTAAATGTTAAAGGCTGCACCATCTTTGTGTTTTTTAAATGTAAATAACTTCTACTTTATTATTTGTTAAATTAGAAAAAGTCTTTAATTTTACAAAATTCCTGACACTATGGAAACAGCAAAAGTGATTTAACACCTATTGAAGTTAAAAGCTTGCTTTTATATTTCCCATCTGATGATTCCAAATGTATACATGTTATTTGTCAAAAGTTACCAGTTATAATCCTTTTCTTTGTACCTTACAACTTAAATGAACAATAATTTAAAAAAATCATAATTTGCATCTAGTTGGTACCACCAAAATGGTTTGAATTTGGTGAGGAACAAACTTGTTACTGTTGTTTTTACATTCATAGAAGGGAAATCTGGAATGAGCGAGTGCATTTTAATCAATACATGAAGACTGAGTATGTAAAAATGACATAAATATAAATAAAAAATTATTGCCCTAACATTGACAAAATTACCTTGTTCTAGCAATTATCAGTGGGATTTTTAAAAGAAAACACTGCTAACTTTTCAAATAGTTATTTTACATGTTAAAAGAGGACTTTGTGTTTCTATTACAGATATTTGAGATATTTGGACCTGTTGCACATCCATTTTATGTGTTACGGTTTAATTCTTCAGATCACATTGAGAGTAAAGGTATTAAAATAAAGGAGACTATGTATTTTGCTCCATCAATGAAAGATTTCACCCAATATATATTCACAGAAAAACTTAAACAGTAAGTACTTTACTGCCATGTTGTTCTTCACTTACGTAACTTACATTTTAAGAATAATTCTCAGTGATGTAGTTTCTTATAATTATATTGTGTCTCCCTTGCAAAGAGTTCATTTATCTTCCTAACAATATCTTTGAAGCCTACAATTTATTTTCAGATTTTGTACATAGAACTCATATCTTTTGCAAAAAATGAAATAATCAGCCATTAAGAGCACATTTGAGCCTTGTACACTATCTGATTCTAGTTCAGTGTTTTTTCCATTATATACTTTCTTTAATGTACTTGCTATTTTAGTATTAGTACTAATATTACTATCGTTTCTTAATAACTTTTTTTTCAGTTAAGTAAAATTCTCTTTGGATTCTATTTAGAGACCTTGCTCTTCAATAAAACTTAATTTTCAAGAGAAAAAAAATGAGTATATCTCTTTATTTTGCTTATAAATTGTAAGTTTGTAGAGAGACAACTAACACGTGTCCCTGAAGAATTGTGTAGAAAGCCATGGTGTATGGAGTTGACCTAACCAACAAACCAGTGCTCTCCATTTTCTCTACAAATAATGCTAAGTGATTTCTGTGGCATGTGACCAGCAATTTTTTTATATTTTTGCTCCCATTGGTTGAATATTTTTCAAATGTTAGCTGTTGCCAGCTGTTAGTCGTAGAGCTGTTTGTATCAGTTGAACTTGTTATAATTATGTTATTTAATTTTTTATATCATCAGATAGCATATGAATTTAAGTAGAATAGATTTTTTTAAATAAAAATAACTTGAATGCTTTCGAATGATGTAATGAATATGAGCCACTAAAAATATTTTCAGATTGGGAGTGGAAGAAAAGACTGCCAAAGATTGGGGGAAGGTTAAATCTAGAAAGACTTTGCACTCAGTTTGACAAAGAAGTTCCTTTTAGTTCTAGCTCTTCCTTTATTGGAAACTTAAAACCTAGGTGATAGATTTTTATAGATGCTGTTTTTGCAGGAAAACAAAGGAGCTTTGGTCACTGAATAACTTTGATATTATGTCAAAGGTACCAGCCCCAGTTGCATGGCATAAGAAGATTACTTATGCCACTTACATATTAAATAAAGTCTCAAGTCACCAAATTTCATTTATTTCAGAGATGAAAATTTTAGTCCTGATAATTGATTTAACTCATGTTTAAGAATCTTCATAAAGATCTGGAGGAATATTTTGCCTGAGTTATTCTTCAGATTGCATAAGGTTATTTTCCTAAATAACACTGATAAGAAAGATGAATTAAATAGACAGAAAGCCTTCAAGATATTCATATGTTCTAAAATGCTTTAAATATTTAGCATTTCATCCTGTTTTGAATATAAAGATACTGCTGTGGATATGCCATATATGCAGCTTTTTAACAAATAGAGTATTTTAACTTAAAACAGATAAACTTGAAGAGGTTTTCTGAAGATGGTTTTTAAATAGATTTTAAATAATAGATTCAGTCTTTGGTTTTGATTTGCAGTTCTTCTATTAAGAAGTAGTAGTAAATCAATGAATTGGGAAATTAGACCTATATTTCAGAAACCTCCCTCCCCCAGGAAAACTGTTGTATTCTAGACTGCATTTTGGCGTCTGTCATGGGAACTCGGTGGAGGACTTTGTCTTTGAGGTAGAGAAGTTCAGCTCCTTTCAAGCTTACTGTTCTCTGATGAGGTTATTTTGATCTTAGTTTCTCATGTACTTACTGTCTTGTTAAAAGTGCTTTTTGAAATGTTGCTTGATCTTTCCATTAGTAGATTTTGATTTTTTGTAATAGACGCAGTAGTTGGGGAATTTTTCCCATTTATGTCTGTGATTCCAGGCTAACAGCAGTCCAGATCATGAGATGTCACGTATGCAGAAAGGAATACCAGAGCTGTATTTAAGGCGCATGTGTGAAATGACAATTGAGGAAATGCTTTTTTTCTTTTAAGTGATGGAAAAGTCATTGATAATGGCTCATATATAATGTCAAAGTTCTGAATCAAAAATTTAAAGCAAACTTAACAACTTTCATGTTGTGCCAGCAAACTGACATCTGTACATTGATTTTAATGGCCTTAATTCCTGGGAATATTATTTTTAAGATCTAATTTAAAACAATAAGGACATCGAGTCCTAATACTTTGTAATATTTTACTTTGTGATATTTTAACATGATGAAATAACAAAATAGTACTTGAAACTATGAAATTAACAAAATTAAAAAGATTAAAAATGAGCTTTCACAAATTATACTGCTCATAATAGATGTCTGTACTTCTGTTGGTTGTAAAGTGTAAAACTCTCCACCAAAAGTTGTTGATTTTCAGCTGCAGTTACACATTTCACACACGCCAGTTGTTATATCGTCCTTCAGAATCTTTAAAGCAGCTCCTCTTCCTCTTCCTCAAACTATTCATAGTTAGCCTTTATTTGACCCTCTCTGCTTTGAGAATCAGTGTTGGAATAAGCCTTGGTTACTCATAGAGGATTACTGACATTCCTCAGGTAAACTGAGGAGAAAATAATTCATATTGATATCTCTGCCATTAAACCTGTAAAATCTTTGAAAAGGGAATGGCTTATAGTCAGTTTTGTGTAGTTCGCACGTGGAACAACTTCCGATCTACGGTTGGCGTGAAATAAGCGTTTTTTTAAAACTCAGTTTTGTGAAAACTGCAAATATCATGAAAACAAAAATCAAAAGCGCTGTCCATCTGCTTTCCACTGCACACCATAGCCTTGGCTTCTCATTCCAATTCCCTAATCCTAATATTTATATTTGCCCAACTTTTGTGTTTTTCTTAGGAACTTCCCACATCTTTTGAAATAAGGTAAAAGACACATAAGTGTATTGCAAAATTAAAGGTTGAACTCATGTCCTTTATTATTTTCTGTACTTTTAAGTTATAAGCACTTAACAGAATTGTGATAAATACTTTTTTGACTCCCATCCCCACCCCACCAAGGGATAAGGGATCAGATGCATCGTGGAAGAATGATCAGGAACCACCACCAGAGGTAAGTATAAGTTTTTTTAATGCAACATTTTATAAAGTAGGGCAGGACTTAGTCTTATAAATTTTATCATTCTTGCTGTTAGGGAAGTCATTAATACTGGCTAGCAGCCATACTGCATTCTCCTGTTCTAGCCCATGTATTCTCTCACCCTCCTAGATGACTATTTTATACCTTTCAATGAAAGGTTTTGATTGGTCATTTAGGAAAAAAACCTTTCTTCAGTTACATTTAGTTGTATTTTAATAATTATCACCTTATTTACAGTGTAATTTGCTATTTTTGTTAACTTTGTTGATGTGTGATAAAGGCAGGCTGTCATTAGTTTTAAAAAATTTAATTCAGTTTAGTAAATACACCCACCGTATGGGACATGAAGACGTGGTGCTTTTAGTAGTAGTAAGCTGCCCTTCTTTTGGAAGTACAAAATCATTGGAAGCACAAGATCATTGGAAGCTACCTAACTCTCTACTTTTTAACGATATAACTACCTTTCTAAAAAGGGACCTTGATTTTCTTTTTGTATCTATGTCAGCAAAACAATAGTTTTATGCCCCAAGGTGACTTGATAATCTAGTCTTCCTAGAAATGTGTAGTAAATTTAGGAATAATATGTAAATGAGTTAATGATTTAATAGGATTACTTGGTTAACATTCCATGAAAGTGTTTAAGCAGATTATCTTGAGGGTTTTTTTTTTTGAATTACAACAATGAATATATTCATTTCTTAAAAATAGCATGTATTTATATAGTATAAAATAAAAATGTATATAAATATTTTTATAAGTAAAAATCATACAGGAGAGTTTTTAAAACTTTCTTGGCAGTTCTTATGAAGTTTTCTCAGTATTACAGTTTGTTTTTTTTTTAAACGAATATAGACATGGGGGTCTCACTGTGTTGCCCAGGCTGGTCTCAAGCTCTTGGCCTCAAGTGATCCTCCTGCCCTCAAGCGATCTTCCTGCCTCAGCCCCCCAGAGTGCTGGGATTACAGGAATGAGCCACCTTGCCCAGCCAGTATTACAGATTTTTGATATTTACAGATTTAACCTTGGTCATTTTAAATGTTTAAAGCAATGCTAAATCATGATCTGTGTTAGTTTCTAATTTTACTGAGGTATGAATCAGGTTTATACCCACTTAGAGGGTTTTGTACAGGTATTAATCACTTAACCAGTGAATGATCCTTGCTTAGTATCTGAATTAAAATGGAATTATGTTTTCTAAGTCTGTGTATTTATGTGATTTCAATTGAGGCTCTGAATATTCACTTAATGTTCTGAATTAAGTTTAGAGCATCTAGAGCATCTTATTACTGGAATTACATGTTTTAAAATATTTAGAGATTCATAAATATCTCAAAACATATTTCTTGTAAAATCCAGATTTTCTTATTTTCTTTTTTTGGGTATGAGATGGAGTTTTGTTCTTTTTGCCCAGGCTGGAGTGCAGTGGCACAATCTCGGCTCACTGTAACCTCTGTCTCCGGGTTTAAGCGATTCTCCTGCCTCAGCCTCCCGAGTAGCTGGGATTACAGGCACATGCCACCACGCCCAGCTAATTTTGTATTTTTATTAGAGACGGGGTTTCACAATGTTGGTCCAGGCTAGTCTTGAACTCCTGACGTCTAGTAATCCACCCCACTCTGCCTCCCAAAGTGCTGAGATTATAGGCATGAGCCACCGCACCCGACCAAAATCCAGATATTCTAATGAATCCCTGTTCTTTCTGACCTAACCATTGAAGTTACCAATTACAACAATGTGAGTTATTCGTAAAATTGGTTTGACTAGGTTAATTGCCAAATTACATCTCACCTAGTTCATGGTGTTCGTTTTTTCCAAGTAGCTAGAACTGGATCATTAAGTATGTTGGGATTTAATTATGTAATATTTGTTGATGAAACTTTGTAGTATAGAATTATTTCCTGGTGTTGATCATAGATTAAAATTATAAATTCGTGAAGTTTAAACTTAAAAAGAGAAAAGAGAAACATCATGTGATGTGAAAATAGAAAGCTTGCATAAAGGAAAATAAGAGAAATTATGTGTTATGAAATGTTGGACTGTGTAAATAAACTAAAAATTACCTAGGGTTGTATCATATTCATCTTCATAGGCATTTTTAATATGCCACCATATACTTTATGGTTGAATAAATGTATTTAATGAATGGAAATATGAATTAATTTGCATATAAGAGACGTGAATTTTTCTCTGATTTTAGGAGTGATAGCAAAATACTACCAAAGTAATCTCTGTGAAATAAACTATTCCCAATTAAAATCCTTAGTTCCTCCCTCCTGCTCTTAAGATCATGTTCAATTATTTAAAATGGCACAATAAAGTTCCTTATTAGCGTCTCCAATTTTATCTTTTCTGGTTTTGCTGTGTAAGAGCAGCAGCTTTCACTTTACCTTTCAGAACTATTTTTCTTTTTTCTATATACTATGTTCTATCATGCCTCTGTGTGTGTTGTTTCCATTCCCTGAAAATTCTCTTTATTTTCATAGCTAACTCATTCAGGTATTTCTATTGGGTTATCCATATCAAGAAAGTCTTCCTTTTCCTTTTTTCTCTTTTTCCAGCACTATAATAACATAGCATTAAGTCGTAGCACTCGTTCATTGTACATTTAATCTGTTTTCTCAGAAAAAGGAGTCTTCTATCTGATCTCCATACTTTCTAGTGTCTGTCAGATACCAGATTTAACCTGAGTTTTAAAATCTTATCCCTTTAAGATCAGTAATAAGAAATAGTGCATTAGAAGGCATACAATTATTTCATGTTTTCAAATTAGATTTCAGAATCTGAAGTGTATGGATTCCTGTTGATGGAGGATTTGATCTAGAATGTATTCCAGTGAAGCCATACTGAAAATTACATACAAAGACTTTCATACACATTTTATTTCTTCTTTTTAAATGTGTATCCATCCATACATAGTGGGCCTGCTTTCATATATTTTTTGTATGAAACATAATAAAAGTTTTCTGGTGTTAATAGAATAATAAAATGCCTGAACTGTAGATACCATGGCAGTCATAAGATAAATAGCTCATAAATCTTGGTTTCCTCGGTGGATTATAAGAATGAATCCTAATTCTTAGTTGCATATGAGTTTTACCACCTTTAATTTTTAAATAATTTCCTCTTAGGAGTTGGATCATTCATGTATCTGCTTATAAAAGCCTTTGCCATGTTGGTCAGGTTGGCGTGCGTCTGTAACCCCAGCTACTCAGGAGACTGAGGCAGGAGAATCGCTTAAACTTGGGAGTCAGAGGTTGCAGTGAGCTGAGATCGTGCCACTGCGCCAACAAAAAAAAAAAAAAAAAAAAAGCCTTTGCCTATGGTCCTATCTAAATAGCTTCCTCATGATTTGTGTACCCTTATTTTCCCTCATTTATGTATAGCTCTTGCTATATACTTAAAATTATATTTAAAAAATAAGATGGTAAACCTGTAAAGAATGAACCTGTGAAATGTTTAGAACAGTGCTTGGATGTGTATTTTGAATGAATGAATTATGGAACATTGTCTTCCATTTTTTATTGGCTCTGATAATGTATATAATTTATTTAGTCCTTGATACTCTTACCTTTGGCACCCTTTTGCATCTGATACTATGATGAATCTTAAGTCTAAACTGGAAGTCAGACTCATATCTGAAGGTTGATTACTGACCTGTGTTAATTAAAGAGTCATTAAGCATTTATCAAAAAATACTTTATTTTTCTACCATGTCTAATTCAGATATAGAAAATATTAAGTATCAAAAAGGCAACTTTTTTTAGTCAATGATTAATAATAGGCTTGTTTTCTTCACCTCCAAATATGTACTATTGAATTGGCAAATCCATGTAACATAAACCTATTATATACTTTTCTCTGCAAGGCCTTAGATTTCAGTGATGATGAAAAAGAAAAAGAAGCCAAACAGAGGAAAAAATCTCAGATTCAAGGCCGGAAAAAACTCAAATCTGAATTTAATGAGCCAGGTGAGTGAATACGATATATATAGTCGTTTTTTTATCTTCATTTGCATCTATATAAGTTTATCAATAATAAAACCAAGGGAAACATCTGGGTTTTCTCTGTTTGCCTCCTAGCATCCTGCTAAGATTAGAGCTGTTACATAGCAGGAGGTGTGGTAGTTTTATGAACTTAAGCAGTAAAAATGGCTTCCTGGGGTAACAGACAGACTAAACCTTGTTACTTGTGCTTGTCAGCACTTTTTTCTTAAGATACCTGTTTGCTTCCATGATCAAGTACTTGATGAACCCCTAAATCACAGTATCTTATTTATAAACATGCATTCCCTTTACCTTTTTTAAAAAGTTAAACTTTCTGAGATAACCGTAGATTCACAGAGTTGTAAAAATAATAGGAGAGGTGTTGTATGCCCTTTATTCAATTTCCCCCAGTTGCAGCATCTTGCATAACTATATATGGAACACTATCCCAGCCAGGATATCGACAGGATACAATGAAGCTATACAACATTTCCATCACCAGAGAGCTACCCAGTTGCCTTTTTATAGTCACAGCCACATCCTTACCTCTCAGCCCCTCCTTCACTCATGGCAACCATTAATCTGTTCTCCATTTTCATATATTTTGTCATATCCAGAAAATTATATAAGTGAAGTTATACAATATAGTATGCTTAGGGAAAGGCTTTTGCCACTGAGCATATCTGTGCGTCTGCTGTAAACCATCATTCTCAGCAAACTATCACAAGAACAGAGAACCGAACACCGCATGTTCTCACTCATAGTGAGAACAATGAGTGGGAATGGAACAATGAGATCACTTGGACACAGGAAGGGGAACATCACACACCAGGGCCTATTGTGGGGAGGGGACCAGGGGAGAGATAGCATTAGGAGATATACCTAATGTAAATGAGGAGTTAATGGGTGCAGCACACCAACATGGCACATGTATACATACGTAACAAACCTGCACGTTGTGCATGTGTACCCTAGAACTTAAAGTATAATAATAAAAAAATTTAAAAAAAAAATCTGTGTATCCACCCACATTACTGCATGTATCAATAATAGTTTGTTCCTCTTCATTACAGAGTAAGGTTTCATGGCATGAATTTACCAGATTACCTAACCATTCATCCACTGAAGGACATCTAGGTTGTTTCCATTTTGGGGTTATTAGGAATAAAGCAGCTATAAATATTTATGTACAGTTTTTTTGTGAAAACAGATTTTTATTTTTCTGGAAGAAATGCCCAAGAGTACAATAGCTTGGTTGTATAATAGTTGCATTGTATGTTTAGTTTCCTAAGAAATTGCCATACTGTTTTTCAGCATGGCTGTACCATTTTACCTTTTTTTTTTTTTTTTTTTGAGATAGAGTCTCGCTCTGTCGCCCAGGCTGGAGTGCAGTGGCGCGATCTCGGCTCACTGCAAGCTCCGCTGCCTCTGGGGTTCACGCCATTCTCCTGCCTCAGCCTCCCTAGAAGCTGGGACTACAGGTGCCCGCCACCACGCCCGGCTAATTTTTTTGTATTTTTAGTAGAGACGGGGTTTCACCGTGTTCGCCAGGATGGTCTTGATCTCCTGACCTCGTGAACTGCCCGCCTCGGCCTCCCAAAGTGCTGGGATTACAGGCGTGAGCCACCGCGCCCGGCCCCCATTTTACATTTTTATCAGCAATGGATGAGTGACAATTTCTTTGCATTTTCTCCCGCATTTGGTGTTATCACTCTTTTTAATTTTGGCCATTTTGCTAGGTTTGTAGTGCAAATATAATTGTGGTTTTAATTTGCATTTTCCTAATGGCTAATGGCATTGAGCATCTTTCCATGTGCTCATTTACTGTCTCTATCTTCAGTGATATGTCAGTTCATTATCTTTTGCCACTTTTAAATTGTATTTCTGAATTTTTACTGTTGAGTTACGAGAATTTAAAAATGTGTATTTTAGAAGCTCGCTTTCTGTCATATGTGGTTTGTTCATGATTTGTCTAGTCTATAGTCTAAGAGGGCCTTTTGCAAGACCAAAGTTTTTTAGTTTTGAGGAAAACTATCAATTTTGTTTATGGAATCTGATAACTTCCTGCTTAGCTTTAGATCCTAATGATTTTCTTCTGTTTTTTTCCCTAAAAGTTTTGTAGTCTTCTGGTTTAAATTGTACACTTGTGATTCATTTTGAATTAAATTTTGTATGGAACGTGAGGTTAGTCTTGAAATTGCGTAGAGTGATAACTCCTACTTTATTTTTCTTTTTCAAAATTATAATCGGTATTCTAGGTCCTTTACCTTTCAGTGTAAATTTTAGAATCTTATCTACATCAACAAATGTCTTGCTGAGGGTTTTTTTTTTTTTTTTTTTTGTCTGTTTTTTGAGATCTTCTTACTCTGTTGCCCAGGCTAGAATGCAGTGGTACAATCATAGCTCACTGTAACCTTGAACTTCTGAGCTTTTTTTCTTTCATTCTCCTGACAGTATCTTTCATGGAGCAGAAATTTTTAAGTTGATGAAATTCAGCATATTGATCATTTCTTTCATGGATCATGCCTTTGATGTCCTATCTAAAAAGTTATTATCTAAAAAGTCATTATTGGCCGAGCACAGTGGCTCATACCTGTAATCCCAGCACGTGGGGAGGCCAAGGTGGGCAGATCAGGAGGTCAGGAGTTCAAGACCAGCCTGGCCAACATAGTGAAACCCCGTCTCTACTAAAAATACAAAAATTAGCTGGGCATGGTGGCGCATTCCTACTTGGGAGGCTGAGTCTGGATAATTGCTTGAGCCAGGACCCGGGCGGTGGAGGTTGCAGTGAGCTGAGATCGTGCCACTGCACTCCAGCCAGGCCTGCAGAGCGAGACTCCATCTCTAAAAGAAAAGTCATTATCAACCCAAGGTCATCTAAATTTTCTTCTATGTTATCTTTTAGGAATTTTATAATTCCGCATTTTACATTGAGGTCTGTGATCCGTTTTGAATTAATTCTTGTGAACGGTGTAAGATTATTGTCTAGATTTATTTATTTATTTATTTTTGCCTATGGATGTCCAGGTTTTCCAGCCCCATTTGTTAAAAACACTACTTTTGCTCTGTTGTATTGCCTTTGCTCCTTTGTTAAATATCAGTTTATTATGTTTATGGGGATCTATTTTTGTACCTTCTGTTTTGTCCCATTGATTTATTTGTCCGTTGTTTCACCAGTACCACACTGCTGTGATTCAACTTTATAATACGTCTTGAAGTTGGGTAGTTTCCGTCCTTTGTTCTTCTCCTTCAGTATTGTTCCATTGAGTTTTTTATTTTGGTTATTGTAATGTTCAGTTCTAAAATTTCAATTTATTCTTTATTTTATATCCTTTTTTTGCTAAAACTTTGTAATTTTAATTTTTTAGAATGTTCATAATATCTTGTTGAAGCATTTTTATGACTGCTTTAATACCTTTCATAATTCTAACATCTTTGTGACACCCTTGGTTAATTTTTTTTTTCATTGAATTTTAAATCTTCCTGGTTCTTTTTGTGATGAGCAATTTTCTTTTATTGAAACTTGGGATATTGAGTATTATATTACAAGACTATGGATCTTATGTAAATCTTCTGATTTAGCTGGGTTTGTTGTAATTGTTTCTTTGTCTTTTTAAAAATGCTTCTCTGGCAGCAAAAAGAATGGGGTAGATTGAAGTCTAGGTATTCCTCTTAGCCTCTGTTGACACCTTTGGCCAAGGGGTGCCTTGTTACTGCTGGATGAGGGTAGAAGTTCTGACACCCCATGAGGTATTTTCTTATGCCTGGTAGGGACAGGAGTACTTTGTCATTCCTCCCCATATGGCATGCGCTGACACCAGTGAAGGATGGCCTCGTTATCACTGGATGGGGACAAATATCCTAACTCTACTCAGTCTTCTCTGACATTGTCACAGTGTAAAAGAGGGGAGAACACTGTGTTGCTGCCAGTGGAGGTGGAAGTTCAGGTTCCCCATGTGATGTTCATTGTCACTGCGGGGAGGCGTGTTACTGGCACCCTGTTCAGCCTGTTCCTGATGCTACTGCGGTGGAAGGGTTGGAGTACCTCATTACTGCCTGTCAAGGATAGAAGTCTAGGATCCATACTCAGCCTTTGAGAATGTGTAGAGATGGTGACACATTTTCTTCTGTGGTGTTTGGCTGGAGTAGAATGGTTATCGTCTAAGTGTTTTCTGACTTGCTCGATTATCTTTCTTTGGCATTAGGTTTTGTCTTTTCAAATTCATTTAAAATTTACCATTTTATGTTTTACACTTTTTTAACTGCCATAAGATATACCGGATAATAAAGAAAATTCATAATTGAAATTTCAAACAGTGCTTTTTGATATATTAAACTTACTTTTGTTGTTTTGTTTTCCCTCGCCTCACTCAAAGGTGAAGATTTTGCTGAAGTACATCAGAATTGGAATGCTCACTCTACTTCAGAGCATGCAAAAGGATATCGTAACAGAGAATTCACACGAGGATTTTCCAGGGGCAGATACCCTCGATCTTGCCATGGCAGGCCTCCACCTCAGCATTTCTATAATTCAGAACATATGGTATCTCAGGAGACTTCAGGATTTCCTTCTCAGAGACAAGATAATCCCATTATGCCACAGTACCCCTTTCCTCTTCCAGTGTTTGATGTGCATAATTTTCCACTCCGCTCTCCACCCCCACCACCACCCCCACCTGTAAACATGAGTTGGGCTACACCAAACATGGCAGCTCATCCATTACTTAACTTACCATACTCCCTACCCCCACCCCCTCCCCCTCCACCGCTGCCTCCTCCACCCTCCTCTGGAGATAGTAATTCTCATTTTGGACCTTACTATTAGGTGACTATGCATTTCCAGAGAAATGTGGACTTTTCATATTATGTGGTAAGGATTTTTTTGTTTTTTTAAAGAGTGATTATGGAGCTAGATTTTTAGAAAAACTGTAAAATAGTAAATGATTCCTTCTATTGTAAGTTGATATATATTTGTAACCTTTGTGAAATTGTATTCATATGAAAATGTCAGCTCAGATTCTTGGGGGAACATTAAATTATGTAATATTTAATTAAAATTTTGAATTCATGCCTCTCCCTCCCAACCCCACCCAATTAAACTATGTATATAGTAATGGATATGGGACAAGTTTCATCATGGGTAAAATACATGGAACACATTGATTTTCTTGCTGTAATATGAATATAAGATGTTGAAGTCCTTTTGAGAGTCTTTAAACTATTTTTATAAATTTATACTTTGGAAATCAATTTTAATTACAAATGTAATTTGTGAGTAAATTTAAATGACCATAATTTTTCTTTTTAAAACAGTTGAAGGGTATAGAGGAGAAAATTCTTATATATTGGTAGAAGCTCTGATTATAGCTAAAGTAAAAAATATTTATTATGCATAGGCAAGCTTCCATTATCTGTGCAAAATATTTCCTTTATTTGGGCACTGTTCAGAAGACTTTACTATTTAACCTCCTAAAAGGGATGTAAAGATTATTCACAATAAGATCTATTTAGGGATTTTGTCTTCCATATTTGTTTTCCAGATCCTTACATGCAGACTAGGTTCAGTAAATAACAAATATTTATTGAATATCTGAATTTAGAGTTTTTAATTAAATGAGTAATGACTACTGCTTTATATTATGAAGTGTCAACGTAAGGGAAATTACGGGTTTTAGAACTAGAAAAGACCATTGAAATACTCTAGTTTTCATTTAGTAAATGAGGAGTCTAAGTGTCCCAAAGAGGTTAAAGTAATTTAAGATCACTCAGCTAGTGAGTTGACAAGGAGTTGAACCTAGTTCTTCTGGTTTTCTGATTAGCAATTTCCACTAATTAGATGTTTCCCAATCTTAACGTTCCTTTACACACTTAGGAAACAGTGTTTATATGGCACATTGGAGTAATCTGGAAACCACTTAACACAAGCCCATGCACTCTGGTTGCACTGAGGCCCCACTTTTCTTTCTCATGAGCTGAGGGGACTCTTTCAGCATTCCTTGTACACAAGTTGAGAGGCTCTGCCTTGGTATACATTAACTTTGTCATGTGAATACTTTCTTCATTATTTTTTAAAATATTTTTGCAACTTCTCTTCAGGAGTTACCTTCACAGGTTATAGCACAGTCTTTTTATGATTGTTAGAATATTGTTAAGAGTTTATGAGATGATATCTAAAAGCACTAAAAGAAAAACCCAAATCCTTTTCCACAAGAATGGGAACAGTAACATGTTATTTTTAGTCATCAAGCTGTTCTGATCATCATGGCATTTAAAAACCTGTCCATTTCGGCTGGGTGCAGTGGCTCATGCCTATAATCCCAGCACTTCGGGAGGCCGAGGTGGGCGGATCACCTGAGGTCAGAAGTTCGAGACCAGCCTGGCCAACATGGTGACACCACGCCTCTACTAAAAATACAAAAATCAGCCGAGCTTGGTGGCACGTGCCTGTAATCCCAGCACTCGGGAGGCTGAGACAGGAGAATTGTTTGAACCTGGGAGGCAGAGGTTGCAGTAAGCCGAGATCACACCATTGCACTCCAGCCTGGGTGGCAGAGCAAGACTCCATCTCAAAGTAAAAATCTGTCCATTTCTTTACCTCAAGTACAGGTATATCTCACAGATACTGTGGTCTCAGATCCAGACCACTGCGGTCAAATAAGTCACACAAAGTTTTTGGTTTCCAAATGCATATAAAAGTTATGTTTACACGCTACTGTAGTTTATTAAGTATACAATAGCATTGTGCCTAAAAAAACCAATGTGCATATCTCAATTTAAGAGTACTTTACTGCTCAAAAAATAATAATGACCCTCTGAGCCTGCAGTGAGTCATAATCTTTTAGCTGGTGGAGGGTCTGGCCTCAAGTGTTGTTGGCCACTGACTGATCAGGGTAGTGGTTGCTAAAGGTGGCAGTTTCTCCTAATAGACAGCAGTGAAGTTTGCTATGTTAATTAGCTCTTCCTTTCACCAAAGATTTCTGTGTAGCATGTGATGCTACTTGATAGCATTTTATTCTCCGTAAAACTTTGAAATTTGGGATCAAGTCCTCTCAAACTCTGCTACTGCCTTATCAACTAAGAAGGTTATGTAACATTCTAAGTCCTTTGTTATCATTTCAACAGTGTTCATAGCATCTTCACCACGAGTAGCTTTTACTTGAGAAACCTCATTTTTACTCATGCATAAGAAGTAACTCCTCATCTGTTCAAGTTTTTTCATAAGATTGCAGCAATTCAGTCACGTCTTTAGGTTCCACTTCTAATTCTAGTTCTCTTCCTATTTCTACCACATCTTCAGTTACTTCCTCCCATGAAGTCTTAAACACCTCAAAATTATTCATGAGGGTTGGAATCAACTTCTCCCACACTCCTGTTAATATTGATATTTTGACCCCCTCTCATGAATCATCAGTGTAGTTAATGACATCTTAAATGGTGAATCCTTTACAGAAGATTTCCAGTTTACTTTGCCCAAATCCATCAGGAATCACTATGACAGCTATAGCCTTACAAAAAATATGCTTATATAGTAAGACTTGAAAGTCAAAACTATTCCTTGATCCATGGGCTATGGAATAGATGTGTTAGCAGGCATTAAAAAAATTCAACTCCTTGTACATCTCCATTGGAGTTCTTGGGTGACCAGGTGCATTGTTAATGATCAGCAACATTTCGAAAGAAATCTTTTACTGAATGGTGGACTTAAAATCTTTAGTAAACCATGATATTAAAAGATGTGCTGTCATCCAGGCATAGTTTTTGTATCTGTAGAGCACAGGCAGAGTAGATGTAGCAAAATTCTTAAGGACCCTAGGATTTTTGGAATTGTAAATGAGCATTGGCTTCAACTTAAAATTACCAGCTGCAGTACTCCTAACAAGATAGCCTGTCCTTTGAAGTTTAGAAGCCAGGCATTGATTCCTGCTCTGCGGCTGTGAAAATCCTAGATGGCATCTTCTTTGAATATAAGGCTATTTTATGTACACTGAAAATCTGTTGTTTGGTGTTTAGTGTATCCACCTTATCTAGATCTTCTGGATAACTTGCAGCTTCATTTTGTACTTTTATGTTATGGAGATGGCTTATTTCCTTAAACCTCATGAGCCAACATCTGCTAGCTTCCCACTGGGAGAGAAACTGCAGTTTTTCTCAGCCTTCATAGAATTGAAGAGAGTTAGGGCCCGCTCTGGATTAGGCTTTGGCTTAAGGGAATGTTGTAACTGGTTTGATCTTTTATCCAGACCACTTAAACTTATTCCATATCTGCTGTAAAGCTGTTTTGCTTTCTTATTCCTGTGTTCACTGGAGTAGTACTTTTAGTTTCTTTTAAGAACTTTTTCTTCGCATTCACAATTTGGCTGTTTGGCACAAGAGGCCTAGCTTTTAGTTTGCCTCAGCTTTCAACATGCTGTCCTCAGTAAGCTTAATCATTTCTAACTTTTGTTGTAAAGTGAGAGACGTACAACTCTTCCTTTCACTTGAACACTTAGAGGTCATTTTATGGCCAGTAATTGGTTTTATTCCAGTGTTGTTGTTTCACGAAATAGGAAGGCCTGAGGAGAGAGAAAAGGAAACAGCAGATATGTGGAGCAGTCAGAACATACACATGTATCCATTAAGTTCGCTACATTATATGGGCATAGTTCGTGGTGCCTCCAAAACAATAGTAACATCAAAGATCACTGATTGAGATCACTATAACACAAATAACAATTATGAAAAAGTTCAGAATATTGGGAGAATTACCAGAATGTGACAGTATACATGAAGTGAGCATATGCTGTTGGGAAAAATGGAGTTGATATACTTGCTAGATGTGGGATTGCTACAAACCTTCGATTTGTAAAAAATGCAATGTATATGAAGTATAGTACAATGAAGTACAATAAAACAGTGTGTGCCTATAGTATTATCTGACAGTGGATATTTACTATCTACAGAAACATCTGAATTGTACCATTTGATCTTGGCTTTAAATTAAGTTGATACCTTAACCACTTAGGTCCAATTGTCTTCCTCTCTATAGAAATCGGCCCTCTCTGTCTATGGGTTCTGCATCTGTGGGTTCAACCAATTGTGAATCACAAATATATAGAAAAAAATAAAATGTATGGTTGCAACTGTACTGAACATGGTAGACTTTTTTTTCTTGTGATTATTCCCTAAACAATAGAGTATAACTATTTATATAAAGTTTTTACATTGTATTAGGCATTATAAAATAATCTAGAGAAATTGTTTAAAGTATTGGGAAATGATTAAGTCATGAGGGCTTTGCACTTATGTATGGATTAGTGCCTTATAAAAGGCACTTATGCACTTATGTATGGATTTGTGCCTTACAAAAAGGGCTGGAAGGAACCGGCTTAGATCCATTTTGCTCCCCAGTCTCATCCACCATGTGAAGAAGACTCAGTATTCCTCCCTGCGGAGAATGTGGCAACAGGGTGCCGTCTTGTAAGCGGAGAGCAACCCTCACCAGACACCAAACCTACTAATGCCTTCATCTTTACTTCCCCAGCATCCAGAACTGTAAGGCATACTTATTTATTTATTTTAGAGACAGGGTCTTGCTATGTTGTCTTAGCTGGTCTCGAACACCTGGCCTCAAGCAATCCCTTTGTCTCAGCCTTTTGAGTAGCTGAGATTACAGGTACAAGCCACCATGCCCAGCATAAATTTCTGTTGTTTTTATAAATTCCTCAGCCTGTGGTATTTTGTTACAGCAGCACAAAAGGACTAAGTCACCAACTGTCTCTTATTTGAAAGAGAGAAATAATGCAGTTGTCATCATCCTCACCTTAATCTTACAGCGCATCTTTAAAATTGTGTCCCTAGATCTCTAAACTGATGTAAATGCAAAGACTTAAGATGTTCTACTCACAGTTTCTCACTTTCTATGGAGAATTCTTTGTATTAACCTTTTACTATATAATAAGGTAGGCTGACATTCACATGATTGTGTATGGGTAACCCCTTTGCATGTCTACAGTTGCAAATATAGAATTAAATTAAAATCATTGCATAAGCTAATATATTTGTTTTATTAAGGTGAGTAGCTGTAGGCTGGGTAGGGTGGCTCACACTTGTAATCCCAACACTTTGGGATGCTGAGGCAGGAAGATTGCTAGAGCCCAGGAGTTCAAGACCACCAACCTGGGCAACATGGTGAAACCTCATCTACAAAAAATACAAAAATTAGCCAGGCATGGTTCCACATGCCTGTCGTTTCAACTACTCAAGTGACTGAGGCAGAAAGATCACTTGAACCCAGGAGGTTGAGGCTCCAATGAGCTGTGATCACACCATGGAAACTGGATGACTTGTTTACTTATTAGAAATAGACAATTGAAATAACTGGGTTGAGACTATGATATAGTTTGGACCTTTGTCCCCTCCAAATCTTGTGTTGAAATGTGATCCTGGTGGAGGTGTTTCAGTCATGGGATGGAACCCTCATGAATGGTTTGGTGCTGTCCCCATGGTAATGTGTGAGTTCTCACTCTATTAGTTCACACAAGAGCTGCTGTTTAAAAGAGCATGGCACTGCTCTTGCTCACACTCACCATGTTACATAAGTGCTGCCAGTTCAACTTCCCTGTGATTGAAAGCTTCCTGAGGCTCTAACCAGAAGCAGATGTTGGTGTCTTGTTTCTTTTACAATCTGTAGAACTGTGAGCTAAATAAACCTCTTTTCTTAATGAAGTACTCAGCTTCAGGCATTTCTTTATAGCAATATAAAACAGACTGTTACAGACTGGCTAGGGGAAACCTGGAATAGAGTGCAGTTTCATAACTTACCAAAGGACATGTTCTGTTTTGTGCTGTTATAACAGAATATCACAGACTGGGTAATGTATAATGAACAGAAATTTATTGGCTCACAGTTCTGGAGTCTGGGAAGTCCAATATTAAGGCATGGCATCTTGTGAGGGCCTTCTTGCTGTGTCATCACATGGTGAAGGCAAGAGGGTAAGAGAGGACAAGAGTGGCTGAACTCACCCTTATAATACAAGTCCCCAGTGAGGGTGGAGCCCTCATGGTCTACTCACCTGTTAAAGGTCCCTTCCCTTAATATTGTTACAGTGGCAGCTAAATTGCAACATGAGTTCTGGAGGGGACTGTCAAACCATAGTAGGATACTTCTTTTTTTTTTTTTTTTTTTTTTTTGAGACGGAGTCTCGCTGTGCTCCCAGGCTGGAGTGCAGTGGCGTGATCTCAGCTCACTGCAAGCTCCGCCTCCCAGGTTCACGCCATTCTCCCGCCTCAGCCTCCCAAGTAGCTGAGACTACAGGCGCCCGCCACCACACCCGGCTAGTTTTTTGTATTTTTAGTAGAGACGGGGTTTCACCATGTTAGCCAGGACAGTCTCGATCTCCTGACCTCGTGATCCACCCGCCTCGGCCTCCCAAAGTGCTGGGATTACAGGCTTGAGCTTAAAAGCCATGTAGCTAAGTCATATAAATTCCAAAATGTATCAATTTATTCGTGTAGGTAAGTGACTAGTAATAGAAACTAAATTATTAGTATGTACTAGTGGGACATAGGGAAGATGTAAGTAATTACCATGGTGCCTGTGTACAGTTCTCCATTGTTTTGGGGCAAAGAATATCGAATACTTTCTCATTCTCTTCCTCTTTTCCCACCGAATTGTAATTTGTCAGTCCCTTCCACTTCTTTTTGTTCTACATTTTTTGTTCATTGTTTAGAGCTGGTGAGCAGCAACTGTATTTTTAAAAAATTGAGGCCAATTTGATAAAGAAGAAATGAGAATCTGAATTCCAGTTTGCTATAATTTTAAGCTATTTATTAAATATAAAGAAACGATATTTAAAATTCTCAAGTACTGAAAATCTTACTGTATGTTTTAAGGAACAGTTTCCTAAGGTACCAGTCATTGAACTGGGGACACATAGAGTCTCAAATATAATGTGTCATTTGTATGTATTTTCTTTCACTGATAATGTTTGGCATTTGAATTTGATTTTATTAACTTACAAATTTTTAGGCGGTATGTTAAACTGGTTCAATGCTTCGTACTAGTTCTTTTACACAACTTGCCATTCCTGAGTTATTTTCTGTTGCAGAAAAGGCAGTCTCTTTCACCCCTGGATGACTCAAATCAGGAAATACAAGCAAAAGAAGATCATTCTTTCTGTGTATTTACTTCTCAGTCTTTCCCAATCTGGCCGAGGCACATAAAGAAGACTTGAGGAAATTCTTTACTTAGGACACAATCTTAAGCTGCTCAGGGTATTTAGAATTTTTGGAAATAAGTAGTCATGTACTTCTATAATTAAGTGCTAAGGAAAGTAAATTAGTGTATTATTAAATATTAGATCTTTAAAAAAGAATTAAAAACTAATTTGTAGAGGGAATTCATGTTCACACAATATACATTCATAAGATATTCAGTCTGACATTTCATGTTTAACACCAATAATCTGAGGTTTAAATGTTTAAAAAATAGATAATTTTAGTAATGCAAGCTGGAAAATATAAAAAATGAAGAACAGTATCATTCACAAGAATTTATTTTCAGGTAATGTTGCAGCTACACTGTTTATGATTTAGTGCATTCAGGATACAAAAGAAAAAAACGCATATATTTGTGTCCTTTTCTGCAGATAAATTGCCAATATTTCAAAAGTTTTTTTTTTTTTTTTTACTTCTCATTTTGTGACCCAGTCCAATCCTAAATTTATATGGATATAAATTAGGATATGGATAATATCCTGTATGGAAATGGATTACATGCAATTCTGTTCCAGAAAACCAAGGGACTATTTTCTGTAGTGTAGCTGAAATTAAACTTGAGAAATATTCCCTTAATATTATCTATCAGGCTGGGCAGGGTGGCTCTCGCCTGTAATCCCAACACTTTGGGAGGCTGAGGCGGGCAGATCACTTGAGGTCAGTAATTCGAGACCAGCCTGGCCAACATGGTGAAACTCCGTCTCTACTAAAACACAAAAATTAGTTGGGTGTGGTGGTGCATCCCTGTAATTCCAGCTCCTCGGGAGTCTGAGGCAGGAGAATTGCTTGAACCCGAGAGGCGGAGGTTGCAGTGAGCCTAGATCACTCCACTACACTCCAGCTGGTTGACAAAGCGAGACTCCGTCTCAAATAAATAAATAAATTAGACTAAAGTACATGTTTTGAGCTACTAGCAGCAATAAAATTACATCTCATTTTTGACTCTGTGCAATGATAAATTGCTGTCATTGGCAGACTAGATATATGCAATTACCTGAAAACAAAGTACAAATTCGTGTATCAAATGGTAAAATACTTAATAATGAAAATAAGCCATGAAGAAAAACATCAAATATTTTCTTTGCATTCTATAGAAAGCATACATTTACACTATTATTTGTATAAATACATACGTATTTATTTGATGACTAGTACAGAAAGCGTAATTTTTATGCATATTTTGGTTGAGTACCTCTCATTTCTACTCATATAAAGGTGAAATGGGAATAAATTTTACATTGCATATCTTACAGTTAGTTCCATTACTCCATCTTTCAAACAGAACAAATTGACCTTGTTTATGTGGTAAAAGCTTTTTATTTATATTGAGAATAGATGGGTCAAACATTGTTTCTAACAAGAGATATGACCCAAATAGTAAAACAGAGCAGATGCAAAGGGATAAAATATTAGCATAGAATTCCTATTAAGACGTAATAAATAGATTGTGGTGTTGTGTAGTGTTTAGATGATAGAGATGAACTTCTAAAATGTTCTCAGTATCAGTAGCCACTACAGTGTGCAAAACCTATTATTGCAGCTCTTTAAACCTTTTATTATTGCAGTTCTTCAAGTGTTTTATTGTGTGCTCCCATGACATACAGGAGTGCTGGGAAACATTTGCACTCTCCCCCAACCCACAGCTCTTGCAAATATCTGTTTGATTATGTATCATGCAGTGTTTCATCTCAGACATGATTTGGCACTGTCAGACTCAATTATGTAAGCTTTCTTAATAGCTGATTTATTCAAAGCAAATGATTAATTTTCTTGAACATCAGTTTGGTTTTTGTTTTTGATTAGGTATAATTGTTCGTATATTTGTTGGCAACAACGTAAGTTCAGATGAATTCTGTTTAGCAAGATTATGGTCA